TATTGGTTGAACTTCTCCAGACTGTATAATGGGGTTAAAAGTTGTGGCCCTTATGTAGCCTCTTTAGGCGTCTGTCCGCGGCACACAGCTACGTTGTGTTGTACTTGCTGTACGAACTGTTCTAGACGCGACGTGGCGCTGCGCTTCTCGTCCGGTGTGCGACCGCCTTTAGACCTCATAAGATCACTAAGAAACCACGCCAGACCACATGTTTCTAAGCAATGTTAGCATTTTACCATTTCTTAAGTGTTGTTAGGCATTGTTAGCAAGTGTCTAGCATGGTTTAGCATGTTCTCTAGACGTAGTTAACATGTTTTAATGCATTGCTAGCATGCATGTTTACAGTATGTTCGTAGCATATTAGCATGATTTAGCATGTTACTAGCAACAAGCTGCAGAACTAGGCTACTCCAGCCCCTTTAAACTTCCCATCTGTGTCAAAATGAGTTTATTCATCAAACTGGATGCATTTATTAGTTAATGTTGACATTTATTTTTGATATCAAAAGCTGAATCTCTTAATATTATTTAATGGACCTGAGCTAACATAAACTAACAATTATCAGTTGTATTTTTATTAACGCTGAAGATGAATAAATACTGTAACAAAGCTATTGCTCATTATTAGTTAATACTAGTATATGCATTAACTAATGTTAACTAACAGGACCTTATTGTAAATTATTACTGTAGAATATATAACATATAATTTGACATTAAAAATGGGTTACACTTTATTTTAAGGTGTCTTTGTTATGGTGTAATTATACATTTAAGTACTGAGTAATATTAATTAACTACTTGTACTTACTATATGGTTAGGGTTTGGCTTAGGGTTACTTGCATGTAATTATGCATAATTAATTGTTATTATAATAGTAAGTACATGTAACGTGTAACAAGGACACCTTAAAATAAAGTGTTACCAAAAAATTTTACATTTTTATCGTATATGCCATTGAAACTTACCACCAGTTAACCGGTTTTGTCATTTTCTGTAAAAATTACAAAAAATTTTTACAGTGCAGATTTTTTTAATTTTTTCTAAAGAGAAGTGGTGTTATGGGTGGTTGCCAGGCATTGTGCTTTTGAGGATCATCGAATGAACAAGCTTGCAAGTTATAGGTTGTATAATAATAGCTTTTACACAATATAATACAAAAATACATTTGTGGGTTCAGAAGTGCCAAGAGCTCAGGCTCTCAATCCCAGTGCAATCAGAGGTGGAGAACCAAGCAAACCAGCTGCCGTTCACACCTCACATGGAGTCAATCTGAACCAGGGTTGATTCAACTGGGACTTTCCTGGTATAGCAGGAAATACCGGCGAACTGCACCGGACACAGGGCTCCATTCAATCAGCTCACGAGGGAAGAGATGCTGAGTGAGAACTAGAATGACCTCCTGTTGATGCCCGTCAACTACTACCTCTTAAAACTGAGCTAATGCTGCCATTTATGAATAAAATATGGGCATATCCTTTTCCTCTGTTTGCACTTACAAACACTGCAAAAAAAAAGTGATTTTCTTACTCAATATTTTTTTCTTGTGCTTGTTCTCCAGTGTACAAATATCTAAACATTCTTACATCAAGATACATTTACTTGAGAAGCAAAATGACATGATATTAAGTCTTGTTTAAAAATGTAACCCCCCATCCGAGATGTAGATGAGTTTGTTTCTTCATCAGATTTGGAGAAATGTAGCATTGCATCACTTCCTCAATGGATCCTCTGTAGTGAATGGGTGCCGTCAGAATGAGAGTCCAAACAGCTGATAAAAACATCACAATAATCCACAAGTAATCCACACCACTCCAGTCCATCAGTTAATGACTTGTGAAGCCAAAAGATGTGTGTTTGTAAGAAACACATATATCATTAAGATGTTTTAACTTAAAACTGTTGTTTCCAGCTAAAATACAGATGGAGTCAATAATCCATAATAACACTTCCTCGAGTGAAAAAGTCCATCTGTTGTTCTCTCCCAACAAAATCCACCCACACATTTGTTTTGAACTCATTTGGACAGTTTTTGCTTGTAAACGGTGCTTGATCTGTGCAGATTCTCTCCTGATTCAGACAAGACTACTTTTTCACTGGAGAAAGCAATATTATGGATTATGGATGTCTTAATGATGGATTTGTTTCAGCTTTTGGCTTCACAAGCTGTTAACTGATGGACTGGAGTGGTGTGGATTACTTGTGGATGATTGTGATGTTTTTATCAGCTGTTTGGACTCTCATTCCGACGGCACCCATTCACCGCAGAGTGAGCAAGTGATGCAATGCTACATTACTCCAAATCTGAAAAGAAACAAACTCATCTACATCTTGGATCGCCAGAGGGTGAGTAAATTTTTAGCAAATTTTCATTTTTGGGTGAACTGTTCCTTTAAGCATAAACTCACTTAATTTTGATAAACGAGATTTAATAGCCCAAGTCATTTCTCAAAATGTCTCAATCCTTCTCAAATCAATGTGCATTGATTTAAGAATGTTAAAACAAAATGAAGAGCAAAGGAAGTGCATTAGGCGTGCAATCAATGCATTATGTAATTTATCTATTCAGCGCTGCCACAGAGAATGACTGGAAAGTCTCATTGCACAGGTCTGTTGTTTTGAACTGTCTAAATGAGTTATATTTTATGGCAAGCTTTATTGCTATTCTTTATTACATAAGATTGAATTCCACAGCCAACAATCACATTTTAAACTTAATTAAGACCAATACCAATTTGCTTCCAACATGATTTTTTAACCGACGCCTCCGCTGATAATTAGCACACTGCAGTGGCGTTCATGTATGGTCGTCTTGTAAATATGATAATTTGCAAATGACTCGAGGGCATCATAAGCCTCCAAATCTTCAGCTCAGACAGGCCTCCTCTGTGAGATCTTGAGCGGTTAAACTGATTTAGACTCACAGGACTTTTAACCAGTTATTGTGTGGGTGGAATATATATATTTTTTAAATAGAGGAAGTATAATTAAGATGGAGAGCACTCGAGCCAGCTTCCCTGCAGCAGATATTGTATGGTAACAAATTGCAGGCATGTTAGTGTGGATTCACAATGAAGCACACTGCTGTAACTGAGAGCATTTGATTGCCAAATCTGAATATCTCATAAAAACATGCTGTTCTGGAATATTATGATGGCACCCTGTAAAAAGACTTTAAAATTCAGATCTGTTAGATTAAAAAAAAATTGTCATGTCTTTTGCCATAGTTATTTGTAAA